AGCAGGCATTCGTTTGCAGCCTTTAAAGATGGTTTCCTAAAGTTTTAAACCATTTGCCATAAAACATCGTTTTAATCTCGTTACACTGTTCATGCTTCTTCTTTTCATCTGTAGCCTTTTTCAAAAGAAAAATGCATATGCAGACATAAGAAAGAAGGAGGTAGATAAATATTTTTTCAAATTTTTGATGAGTGAATGCATATATGTGTGTGTGTAGACAAAATAATAGATATAAAAGAATAACTTTACTTAAAAACTTTTGGGGTAGATTTCCATTATTCCCATTGTTGGTTTAGGCAGAAATTCAAATGCCTCATTAAGGCAATAGTTTTATTTATATTCGATTTGCCCTTCTTACTTTGGGAAGGCAGGAAAATGAACAGAACCTCTCATAATCCCATTCTGCTCTCTAATCTTTTTGTTTTTTCAATGTCCAAGTGACCATCCATGAAATTTTTGACATTACACTTCAAATAAATGTGACACAGTGTTGGTTGCCAGTGGTTTTTTCTCTCTGATTAAATTATAAATTCTTGCTAAAAGCCAGTAATAGGAAAATTACTTCACTAGACACATAAGACATTATCAGAATTACTTGTGTTTCTCTATTATTGGAAATACAAGCTAGTGGAGTGGAAATCCTTTTTGCTGTCACAATTCATTATCATAAACTAATTGTTTATAACTCTAGATGGAAACAAGTGCGTACTGGCATATAAATAATCATAACTTGTTTTCTTGCCATCAAGGCGTAGTCTGCTTGGTATCGGAGAAAATGCAAGTGTAGCAGAGGAATTGCAATGCTTTTTTTTTAATGAAAGGATTGTTACAAAGATAAAACAGATTTTTTAATGCCACATAAGAGAGTGATAACAATTTTCATGTTGACCTTGAAACTCTACTTGAGAACAGGATTCAGCAGTATTTTTAGTTAGCCATGAATATCTTAGAGGGATCTCTGAGAAGAAAATGCTCCTTATGTAAAAGAAGCACTTGAACCATCAGTTATAATGCAGTATGACAGCCAAGGTCTGGCACAAGGTCCTAGATTACTAAAAGCAGTTTATTATCTGCATAATCCGGGGTCGGCAAATGGAGATGAAACAGGCCAAAGGATAACCTGAAATCAAGACTTATCCTTCAGTGCATGTCATTAGAAGCCTTGGTTTCAAGTGGCAGAGGTGATATTATCTGGAGAACAGAGAAAGTTCACCACTCATTAAGGATGCTGCTCAAAATTGGCCTATGCAGATTAGCTGGACCCATGACTTATTATCAGATGTTGAAATTAAATACGAAATGCCAACTAACATCCACAGTAGAAAAGAGTTAGAAGGTTCATGAAACATCCTTTGCATTAAGTAAACAAAGAAAGAAAGGATTCAGAATTATGGACAAATTTTTTGTCTTAGAAACAGATTTATCTTATAAAGTTATCTAATATGTTTATAAGTAAGGATTTGCCTATAGAACAACATTTGAGTCACTAAAATTCATTTCATACCTGACATTTTCAGGTAGGCATAAATAAAAAATATATATACTGCAATTTCAAAGACTAAATGTTACTTTGTTTAAATTAGCTGTGCTTGGTGGCACAAGCCTGTAATCTCAGTTTCTCGGGAGGCTGAAGCAGGAGAATTGCTGGCACCTGGGAGGAAGAGGTTGCAGTGAGCCGAGATCGTGCCACTGAACTCCAGCCTGGGCAAAGGAGCGAGACTCCCTCTCAGAAAAAAAGAAAAAGAAAGAAATGTTACTTTGTTTAAATTGGCTGTTTTATGCCTTGGCCTAAATGTTTTTACGAATGAAGAACTGAATTGCTTTGAATCAGTATAAAATAAAAGATGTGTTGAAATGCACACGTGAACTTTTTTTTTTTAAACAGGCATTAATGATCTATAATCAGAGAACAAATCATTAAATAATAAAGCAGTAAGGAATGTAAATTTTTAAAAGAAAGAAAAATTTGTATTGTAGAACACATATACACAGAAAACTAGATAAATAAAGGATCCTCTGCAATTATTGAATATTATTATGAATCAAGCAAGAAATTAATATTCCTGCTTCATTAGCTGGTAGCATCTGCTCATTAGACAGCAGAAATGTTTGCAGGTTGGAAAGAAAAAGTAGACCTCCTAAATAAGTGTCAAAATGAGCTGCCTGTTACATTTCTAACCTTTTACACAGCTTTAGAATTCTATAAGCAGGGGAAAATTGCAAAGAGGTCTTGCCCTAGTACATTGCCAGTGAGAAAGTAAAATGGTGCAACCACTTTGGAAAACAGCTTGGGACTTCCTAAAAATATTTAATGTAGTGTTAAACATACAATCTCGCAATTTTGCTATTAGGTAAATACCAAAGAAAAATGAAAATATGTGTCCACACAAAAATTTATACATGAATATTAATGAAATCATTATTCATAAGAGTCAAAAAGCAGGAACAACCAAAATGTCAATCAATGGATGAAAAGGTATATAAAATGTGTTATATTCATACAATGGAATAGTATTCAGCAATACAAAGAAATGAAGTGCTGCTACAACGTCAATGAACCTTGAAAATATTCTATGTGAAAGAAACCAGTCATAAAAGACCACATTATTGCATGCTTCTGTATGAAAGATCCAATAGACAAATCTATCAAGACAGAAGGTAGATTTGTGGCTGCTTAGGGCTGGTGGTGGAGTGGGGAGAATGGGGAGTGTCAGCAAATGGGTCCTGGGTTTCTCTGATGAAAATGTTTCAAGATTGATTATGGTAATCATCGCACAAATTCATAAATATACTAAAAACCACTGAGTCCATTGAGTCCCATACTTTAAACAGATGAATTTTATGGCATGTAAATTATATCTCAATAAAGCTGTTTTTTATAAAAAGACATATTTCAACCAGCTAAGGAACACGATGTTTAAATAGCCAGGAAGCTGCTGCTGAAAATAAGCAAGACTCAAATAAAAGCCTGATTTTCAGCCATGCGCGGTGGCTCATGCCTGTAATCCCAGCACTTTGGGAGGCTGAGGCGGGTGGATTGCCTGAGCTCAGGAGTTCGAAACCAGTCTGGGGAACACGGTGAAAACCCATTTCTACTAAAAATACAAAAAATTAGTCTGGCGTGGTGGCGTATGCCTGTAATCCCAGCTACTCGGGAGACTGAGAGAGGAGAATCACTTGAACCCAGGAGCAGAGGTTGCAGTGAGTCAAGATCGCACCATTGCACTCCAGCCTGGGCAATAGAATGAGACTCTGTCTCAAAGAAAGTAAAAAGACGGCCTGATTTTCATCCCTAGTTGTTTTTCTCTCGTAAGTATTTCTTTTGTTAGCAATAGAGCTGGTTAGCCGATATATTCTTTCTTTCTCTCCTTCTCTTTAAGTTAGAAAACAATACTCAGACAAAAACCCAAGGTTTACTGGGATAGGGAGTATCATCAGCTGGTGAAAATGTTGGCTGTCCCACTTCTTTTAATTTGTGAATGTCCTGACTGTATCACACAAAGCCCACCTCTGATGAAAGGTGAATATCTAGTTGTAACATGAGCCTGTGTATAAGATTTACTCTCCCTTCTGTTTGGTACAAGGAGAACAATGCCCAATCTGAGTCATTACTTAGCTGACAATAGAGCACATCAGAAAGAGCCAATGCTTATCTGTGGCTGAGAAGATTCAACCATAGTTCTTTTTACCTAAGCCATTTTAATCCCCTTTTAACTTTTTTAATCAGTAAGAGAGGAAACTCTCCTGTTAAATTGAGGGAGCAACATTCCTAGTGTGACTGAATTCCACAAGGCCAGAATTTCCACCTGTCCTTGAAAAAGATAGGTGTAATCTGCTCCTGGCTGCAGTGGGAAAGAAGTTTTTGTTGTACTGTCTTGGTGTGTGTGTCTGTGTGTGTGTGTGTGTGTGTGTGTGTGTGTGTGTTTAAATTCTTTCCTCATGGGACAAACCTCATCCATTCCATTCATACAAAAGGTTTCCCAGGAAACTTCGTTTCAGAGCTAGGAGATGGATTGAGAGATGCAAACTGAGACCTTGGGGGAATGTTAATGAAGAGCATGAATATCTCTGCCTTGCTGTAGGACTTGCACATTGACAATAGCCAGAAATGTCACTTAACAGTAGTGAAGACTGTTTCCTTGGAATTCCGCAGTATGGGCGACTTGAATAGAAGAGTTAAACACTGCTTTATCATTTGGGCCAAGAAATATCTGTTCTTACCTGTGCACATGGAGATTTCAGTCTATCTATCTCTTCCCACTCTTTTTCTCTGGGAGTCATGTAAATCTTTATTTGCTCCTTCCAACTAACCTACAGGAAAGGGAATTCCACCACTCCTCTTCTGTACCCACCCTATTTACCCACCTCTAAGTGTTTCGATGCCTGGTTTAAAAAATTAAGGTCAGATATCAAATAGTCATTGTCAACTGGTTCTTCAGAGTTCCTTGAGTGAATCTTTAAAAAAGTAAGGATTAATTTTTAAGGATTAATTTCAATAACACACAGGAGTTTTTATTTGCTGTGAGATTCTGATTATAATGATATTTGGGGTTCTCATTTTCCCTGAAGAAAAAGAAATCTTATATGATGTCTGAAAATCTAGATAATATTTTTAATCTATATTTTCTAATACTGAATGATAATGATCATATTTTATATTTGGGTAGCCATTCACAAAGCACCCTCATATTCCTTGTCTGTACCAACAGTTATTGTAAGTCCAAAGATGTAGTTGTTTTATATATAAAGAAGGAGCCTAGGGAAAGCAAAATGCTCATCCGAAGACCCAAAAGCAGTAACAGGAAAAGCTAAGATCATAACGCATGCCTCTAAACCCAATCTGCCTCGCTCAGTGAATAAACATCAAACCTTATCCTTCCTAATTGAAGCCTTGAGTGCCTCTCTCAACAATAAAATCAGCCCTGTGGTACATAAAAAGTACATCAACAATTTAGTAAACAGGATTCGTTTATTTGTAAAGTCAAGAATAAATGTTGGAATTAAGAAAGGATAAAAATGTGATGTTCACAAAGGGCTAGAGGGTCACCTGTCAAGAAGGCTCATTGTGCTGGTTTCTCTGTTCATGGTCAAACACGTGATCAAGGCACACAGATAAAATGTCATGTCTCCCACAAAGCCTCCACAGTTCTGCAGCCAGAAGTCGTGACTCCTCCCATGGACTCTACATCTCCATTCCTTATTTGACATGCTGCTGATCATTTCAAAGGCAAGTTGCATGGTATCTTGGAAAGAGCACTGAATTTGGAGCAAGAGAATTTGAGTTTCAGCTCTGATCTTGGGCAAGTCACTTAAGGTGGCTGCATTTCTGAAAGAAGAGATAGATATAACAGCGTTGTTATAAGGGTTAAATTAGCTAATACTTCAAAAACAGTTGGCAAATAGTAAGTAACCAATAAACGTTAGTTATTATTTTTATTGATCTAACATACCCATTTGATAAATAACAAACAGGCCTAGACAAAAGAAAAGGCTTACTCAAAGGCAAAGGTATATAATTAATAATAATACCCAACTAGTAGGACTATTGTGAGGATTATGTGTACGTGACTTGTGCCTTACAAAATGTAAGTAATTTGCATAGATAGGCTAACATACCATTTTGGTTGGATGCCCTTGAAGGTAAGAGTAGTATCTCTTATTTTGTTCCTTACCCAGAGCGTTGATGAGGACTTCTACAGAGTTAGCACTAAATAAATGTTAACTGAACTAATTTCGTCTACATAAAACATCAGACATTGTATCCCAAGGTTATAGATGATCTAATTTATTAACTTTTTCAAATCTGTGCTTCTACAGATTCAACTTGGACCTACTTTTTCCTTATAATATCAACAAAACACCATTGATTATAGATTTAGTAACCCGACTGGCCTGCCCTTTGTAGTAGAAAAGCTTTGGACCAGTTAGAGCACTTCAGCTGCTAAGAAAGCTGTTTTTCCACTGTCAGTTGGGTCTAACCATCTAATTCTCAAGCATTCGTTTAGGTGTAGTATGCATTTCTTTCTCCAGAAGTTCATTTCCATCAAGTGTAGATGGCCGAAGTTAGTACAAGGTGAAACTCCTCAGCCATAAATACCATTCTGAATTACAAGCCTTCTATATTTGCAACACATCAATTTCTTCCAAAAATCTATGGCTCACCTCCTTTATGTTTTAGCCAAGACATTTTACCTGTTCATGACAGCCCTCAGTTGAAAGTTTTCCAGTTGGCCTTGCTAGGAAAAGGGGATGTACAGGTTCCAGTGGATTCGTGTCGGTCTCCAATACACATTTTCTCAGAAGCGTCTTTGTTGGTAATATCGATTAGGGGAGAGACAAAAACAGAAAGGCTTGGGAAATGCAACAGGTGTTTTGCTCCTTAAGTTAGGTTCTGATAGTAGAATTAACAGCCATGGTCAAGGCCAGGAGCAGTGGCTCATGCCTGTAATCCCAGCACTTTGATAGGCAAAGGCAGGCGGATCATGAGGTCAGGAGTTTGAGACCAGCCTGGCCAACATGGTGAAACCCGCCTCCACTAAAAATACAAAAAAAATTAGCTGGGCATGGCGGAGCCTGTAATCCCAGATACTCTGGAGGCTGAGGCAGGGGAATTGCTTGAACACAGGAGGCGGAGGTTGTGGTGAGCAGAGATCATGCCATTGCACTCTAGCCTGGGCGACAGAGCAAGACTCCATCTCAAAAAAAGCCTTGGTTGGAAAGGTGTGGGTGAGCTGATATTGCTCTTCTTTTAAGCTGATATTGCTTGTTCCCTTTTGCATATATGAATATAGATGAAAATTTATCTTAAAACTTCTTTAAAAGCCATAATTTTGTCCAGGAGTAAAGTCAACTCTGGGATACCTATACTGGGTATTATACAAGTTTCAGACTCAATATTCTTTGTGGTTGAGAATGAAATTTTAGATTTTTACTGCATCATACTTTTTTCATTATCGGAGTTGCCCCAGCATCTTGAAGCAATGGTCTTTCACAATTTAAACACTAGAGCCAACACCTTAGATAGGTCAATTAGAATTTGGATACTTATGAATAAACTGAAAACATGACTTTGAGTTGCTGGAAGAAGTTAGAAACATTAATTCAATTTTCTGATTTAAAAAAAAACACTATTTCTTAAGTTTCATACTCTAGTCTGTCTTAAAAATGATTCTAGGAGCACAATGCCAAATTATGGGCATCCAAGGACACTGGCTAGACAAAAGAGAAGAAAACTAGGTGAGCAATGAACCTTATTAGCATGTGTCCTCTCAGGCTGATGACTGTCATTAGGCTGCTGGAGAATGACATCATTTTCCCTAAGAGGCAGTCAGCTCGAAAATGTCAACTATCTCCGTGAATTAATTCTTGTAGCTGCTTTATGTTGCCTTCTGCTCCTTGAGAAAAGAAATGGACATATTTCATTTTGGCGATCTGTCAGACATGTTGCTGTTTTAAATATTACATTTTAAGCCCAATCTAATGTGAACATATTTTGTTTTGGGAAGCCTGTTGAAAAAAAAAATTGACTTCAATAAAGTAAAATTCAAGGTGCAAAACTCTGTAATCCCTTTTTTGGTGCAAATTACTTTCATTTTATAATGTCATTTTTTTTTCAAAGGATTCTATAGTGTGAAATTGTAGGAACACTTATACCCTGGTGTTGTTAAAAAATAGTCATAGACAGAAGTAAAGAATACAGGAAGCGTGATGGATTTGAGGGGACAGATATAATTGCAAACCACAACTCAGTCAAAAGTTCTTGCCTCTCAATGTAGTTCTTTTTCACTTTGTCAGACATATCAGAAAAAATAGGATCATTTATTAATTTATTTAATGAACTTTATTGAATGTCTATATTTTTGCAGATTCTGTGCTGGACAATAGAAAAGCAAAATGAATTAGATACTTCCCACCTTTAAGAGAGCCCCACATTCAGTGGGGGAGAGAGACATGTAAAGGGAAATATTGAATTAGTTTGAAAATTCCATTAGAGAAAGAGACTCAGATATTTCTGAGAGTGGATTTTTAAAAAAGATTATGTGTGTTCACATACACACCCACACAATCCTGCATGTGGAGGTGAGTGAGAGAAGACAGAAAGGAAAGGCAGAAAGCTGTCTCAAAAAAATAACAAGCCAGGGGGCAACAGCTATACCTGTAATCCCAGCACTTTGGAAAGCTGAGGCAGGAGGATGGCTTGAGCCTGAGAACTTGAGACTAGCCTCAGCAACATAGTGAGACCTCGTCTCTACTAAAAATTTAAAAATTAACCAAACATGGTGGCCCATACCTGTAGTCGCAGCTACTCAAGAGGTTGAGGCAGGAGGATCTCTTGAGCCCAGGAGTTTGAGACTGTAGTGAGCTATGATTACACCACTGCACTCCAGCCTGGGCAACAGAGCAAGACCCTATCTCAAATAAATAAATAAGCAAATACATACATATCAGGACAACTTTCACTGGTGACTAAAGCACTGGTCAAGATATCAGAAACACTAGAAGGAGCTCAGCAATCCCTTGAAATAGCTTTCTTGTCTACCTTCTAATGTGTAGAATACTTTAAACTGAAAACAAACACAGTATTTTAAGCCTACTGCTAGACTTGAAAACTGGGAGATGTAAACCATTGATCTAAATAAACACAAAGATGTGTAATGGACTGATACTACATTGTCTTTCTGACAGTAAGTTTGAAGGGAGATGATTGTATTATAGAAGCATCATGCCTGGCCGGGCGCGGTGGCTCACACCTGTAATCCCAGTGGGAGGCTGAGGCGGGTGGATCACGAGGTCAAGAAATCCAGACCATTCTGGTCAACGTGGTGAAACCCCGTCTCTACTAAAAATACAAAAAATTAGCTGGGCATGGTGGCGCATGCCTGTAGTCCCAGCTACTCGGGAGGCTGAGGCAGGAGAATTGCCTGAACCCAGGAGGCGGAGGTTGCGGTGAGCCGGGATCGCGCCATTGCACTCCAGCCTGGGTAACAAGAGCGAAACTCTGTCCCAAAAAAAAAAAAAACAGCATCATGCCTAAGTGATAGGAAATGAGCAAACTGAGGGCTAGAAAAAGAATGTGCTTCCTTTCATATTTTTATTTTAAATTGAATTTTCATTTACATGCAGTGAAATGCACAGATCTTAAATGTTACAGTTTGATGTTTTCTCAAATGCAGACACTCATATAGCACACACTGCTGTCAAGTCACAAAACATTTCCATCATCCCATAGAGCTTCCTCCAGTCCTTGCCAATCTCCATAGCCCTCCCAGCCAAAGGCCATCATTGTACTACTGATGTTTGTCACCATAAATTAGCATTGCCTATGTTCTTCAATTTTATATAAATACAAATATGCTATAGGCGCTCTTGTTTCTGAAATCTTTCATGCAGCACAATACATCTATGTCTTCTGAAAACCGGTTGTTGGTTCTTTTCTATTGCTGAGTAGTATTCCATTGCATGAATATGCCACAGCCTATTTATCTGGACTATGTTGATGGACATCTGGGTTATTTGCAGTTTTCAAATTTTCTATTATGAACAACACTACTATGAACATATTTGTTCAAGTCTTTTTATAGATATATGTGCTCATTTCTGTTGAGTAACACCTAAAGGTGGAATTTCTGGGCTATAAGGTAAATATGGGTTTAACATTTTTAGGGGGAATTAATCATGAAAGTAGGAGAATTTTCAAATTCAAATTTGCAGGATGAAACAGAGAAGAAAATAAAGGATATGCAGCCCATGGAAGGAGAATGAGTAGAAGAAGGGGACAGGGAAGTGCCTGTGGAATTTGGGAAAGGGAATAGTCAATATAAATCATAAGGTGCACAGAGGATTTCTATTTAGCAGACAGCTTCTGGGACATTTCCAAAGTCTGCGTTATTGTTAGCAGAGTGTATAAAGTCTGAAATAATTACTGGAACTTCTGAAAGTGTTACTAAGCTTTTCAGAAAATGCCATTGTTTCTGGGAAGCCTAAGAATAAAATCCTACCTCTTGTCCAAATGTCTGTTTCCAGTAGACCTGATTTGGTAGAAAAGATGTCCAACTGGATGTTGGTCCAACCATGGTCATCAGACATTATTTTCCTTGCATCTTAAGAACAGGATCTTAATTAGAACAGGTCTCTCCCTGTTTGGATCCAGGTTCAACTGCTTTGATGGTATAAACCAGTTCTCTGGCCACCCTTTGCACATTTAGGTCTATACCTAAGAGCTTTGAGGTAAGGGATGTAGGTAAGATGGATCAGCTTACTAGCTGGAAGTTCATACCATTCAAATACTACCAGATTTCTGTCTTGCCAAAGCCACCTTTAAGTTTTTAAATTAATTTTCGTAATGGGCTGAGATTCATATTTATTACCTTTGATCATCAAAAAGGAAAATGAAATCTGAGTACAGTGGGGCACACCTGTAGTCCCAGTTATTGGGAAGGCTGAGGCAAAAGGTCTCTTGATCCAAGAATTTTGAGGCTGTGCATATGATCACATCAGTGAATAACCACTGTACTCCAGCCTGGCCAATATAGCAAGATCACATCTCTTTAAAAAAAAGGTGGGAAAATAAAAGGTTGTTAAATAATTCCATCTACTCTGTTCTTGTTAACCCAACCTATGGGTCATAATTAAGAATTGGTAGCTGAGGCTGGGCATGGTGTTTCACACCTGTAATCTCAGCATTTTGGGGAAGCCGAGGCAGGTGGATCACTTGAGGCCAGTAGTTTAAAACCAGCCTGGCTGACATGATAAAATTCTGTCTCTACTAGAAATACAAAAATTAGCTGGGCATGGTGGCACACACCTGTAGTCCCAGCTACTGGGAGAATGAGGCATGAGAACTGCTTGAACCTGGGAGGCAGACGTTGTGGTGAGCCAAGATCATGCCACTGCACTCCAGCCTGGGTTAGACTCTGTTGCAAAAGGTAAATAATTGGTAACAGATTTCTAGCCCCATTTTCCTTGATTATATTAACTACTCTCCAAGAAAATAGATTTCCAAACCACAAATTCTCCTGAAAAGAGCCCTAACTCTCCGGAAAGATATACAATATTCGTAAAATTTAAATATAACACAATGACAACAATAATACATACATATACACACACACTCTTATCCTAGGAATCTCTGAAACAGTGGACAGCCAACAACTGATCACATGAAGAGAAATTTGAGTGCCACTCTCACCTCTTTCCTACAAAGGGATCTACCTGTGTACAGAACTTTATAAAGCTATTCAAACATAGGATCAAGCAGCCTGGGCTAGGTTACTTTGCAGAAAAAAAAAAATCAGTGTTGTATAATGATACATAAAAACAGAAGCTATTTCCTGATCACATGACTCACCTACAATAGAGTGTTGTTGAAAGGATAAAGGATTAGGAGCCTTGAGACCAGTGTTTCCACCACTAACCATGTGTCCTGGATCAAGGCACTTAACTTCTCTGAACCATAAAATAATTAAATTTTGCCAGATTATCTCTAAGACCTTTTCCAACACTGAAATTTTGAAACAAATAAAGAAAAATCACCAAATTACAAGATCACTTTTCAAATAGGCACAGAACCACAATTTGGCTGCTCCAATTATTTTGGTCATCTCCATGATCAATAATGCTCCCAGCAGGCTAATCGATTATACCACTAGCTGTGTGGATCGTTAAGTGACTATGACACTCTGGTTGACTGTGAATGTTCCATTCCAGCCTCTGTATTCAGCCAAGACTTAAAGATAAAATGCCCAAGTGTCCCTTTAACTAGGGGTCTTTTTTCTCATGTTGTAGTTTTTATCCATTTTATTTGTCAAATGGAAATAAATAAAGAGGCCACATAAGTAAAAGTGAGCCAAGAATGTGGAGTCAATACTCAGTGTTGTAGTCTTGAAAAAATTCAACAAGTATTTACTTAGAACTTCCTACCTGGTAGACACTGTACTAAGTACAGGAAAAACCAACTGAGTAAGACCCTTATTCTGCCCCTCGGGTACTCACAATCTACAATGTAGGTCAGTAAAGAAAGAAATAACTACACTAGAATATGGTAAGTGTTGTAATAAATAAATTCCCTCCTTAACTGGTCTCTTTCAGTCTTCTTTCTTTCCTTACAGATGATACTTTTTTTTTTTTTTTAAGAAGGAGTTTCATTCTTGTTGACCAGGCTGGAGTGCAATGGCGTGATCTTGGCTCACTACAATGTCTATCTCCCCGATTCAAGCAATTCTTCTGCCTCAGCCTCCCAAGTAGCTGGGATTATAGGCATATACCAGCATGCCTGGCTAATTTTTGCATTTTTAGGAGAGACAGTGTTTCACCATGGTGGTCAGGCTGGTCTCGAACTCCTGACCTCATGTGATCTGCCCACCTTGGCCTCCCAAAGTCATGGGATTACAGA